TTAGCCAAAACTTATGGAACACATTTCTTTCATTCTTCTATTTACTTTACTTTATAAAGCCATCTAAGTTAGATAACAAGTAGCTTTTCCTTTCCCTTACTTTTCCATCTATCCGAACACAAGATTAGTTTATTAAAGAGATGGAATTGAAACCTTTTGGGGTGCATATCTTTAAGCTGAAAAGAGTGGATGAAGAGGGAGCTAAAAGGAAAGTATAAAAAAATAAAAAAAATAAAAAAAATAAAGGTGCAGAAATTGGACCAGAAAGCCTACTGTGGTGGACCTAGTATTCTTCTTCTCTGTTAAACAACTTGGCTTTCCAACAAATGAAAATGGCTAAGAATATATGCCTGAGAGATGGACATCCTTGATTCTTAGAGAAAGTATTGGAGAGAGGAGAATTCTGAAAAAGCAAAACTATGATGAGTATTGCCATTATTGTTAGTCCCTTTCATGAAACTATTTTAGGAAGGAGTCACTTTTATGGAGAAGAAATCCTAATTGTTCCTAGGAACAAAAGTGAGCAACTCAAATAACATGGGATAGGGGATATGGTACATTAATATATTCAGAAAATTTCATAAAAGAATGATTCTTCTTATCTCTACCTTGTCCTGCACAATTTTGCTTCTTCAAATATCATTCTATTCCTCAGATATCGCCATCTTCATTACGGTGTTAAGAGTTTTGGGTTTCTGAGATCTTAAGAAACCAGCTTAATGTTCAAAAGGCTCTGGGGATTACATAAGCATTAAAATTCTGAACCCAAGACATGTATCAATGTTCAAGATATATGCTGCAAAACCCAGGATCAGATAAATGTTGATGACCATGATCACCCCTAGTCTTGGAAAATATACTTAAATCTATCTGTCAGACTCAAAATTACTACTAATCATGTTCTTAATAGTGATGAAACAGTAATCTTATCAGAAGCATATTCAGAGCAATAGAACAAAATGAATTGAGCAACATCAGGACTGCATTTTTCAAAAATGATAATATTAGCTAGGATGAACATCATTGAGGCATAATAGAGAGCGTTTTCTGTCATGCAATCAGTGATGATGAAGGAACTGTGATACTCTAGCTAGATATATATTGTCTCATGTCAATATAAACAATCTCTAAAGTAGGCAATATTCTTCATGGTTATAACACCTTATGAAGACACCAACACTAATCATGAAGGTTGAGAAAAAAAGCATCCAAATAGATTAAGCTCAAAGCAAAAAAGCTAGGGGGAATCCATTTTTTGTGGCTTTGATTAGAAAGGAATAAGCTAAGCAAATTCTTGACTTGAGAATATGACTTATTGGCTTTAGTTTGAGCTAAGATTCTTAGATTCCATATTCCCCAGGAATCTTATAGAACTTTTTTTTCCCTTCTAACTTTTTCACCAGGAATAACATTCCGTGGTCATTTCTCACTTTCTATTTCCCCCATTGCCATCCCATGTGGTCAACAAAAGGTGATCAATCAGAAACTCACACGTGTATTCTTATGATTGACTGACCAGTCCTTAAACAAGATTCTTCATCCATGCTGTGTTTCTCTTTTCATGAGCTTCGTATGGTCCTGAAAAGTAAAATTATATTAATACCGAATATATAAAAGAAAAACGTAGTACAAGGAAGAAAAAAAAAATTCCATGTTCCCTGTCTTAAAGTGAAGAATAACATATATTTGTGAGGGAAGAACTGAGGAAGGCGATTAAAGTTGGATAATAGTAAAAAAGTGAATGAAGGACACATGAATGAAGTACATCTATGCATAAGCATCTTTTATATCATATGTGCTTTTATCAAACATGACAATTTGATAAGCATGAAGAAGGCCATGTAAGAAGATGGGAAAAACATCAAATTAGCAGATTTTAATCATCTTTGTATAGTTAGCAAGATGGCCAACATGTTTTTTACATGATTTAAGTCATGAAAGAGCAAAATAAGATCAGTGATGAGTTGAGCCGCAGTAGACATGCTAAATGCATCAGATCCTGGCTATGGTGACTACTCCAACAATCATAGATTCAACAACCATCAAAATATCCATAAGTGGGCACATATCCTCCAAGCAATCTAGTGTTGTAAGTTGCAAGGTACCATATAATGCCTCTGCAATTTATTCCTATCCACATGCAAGCAGACTATTTTTAGATTCTTCATCTAATGCTTCTTTTTTCTATTGATAGATTCCCTCAAACTGCCAAAATCAAATAACGTGCCAACATATTAGAATCAATTGATCTTCTTAAATTAAAAATCCAGTCTCTAGCAAATTTGAATATATTGATCAACATATTGGAATTTTACTTACAATTTCATCTAAATGCACCCTAACAAAATTTTGAACAGTGTAGCAAAGCCCTCATTTAATGGAGCACAAGCATATATCAGATATGTTCATTTGTCAATAAAGGTTTTATTTCTGTCATGTAGGTTTTAATATGATTGTCCAGATTTTGCCACCATAACTTAATTATACGAATTTATTCTTCTGCATTAGCTGTTGATCATACAGATATTATTCTTTCTATTTTTAAAAAACAGGTATGGTATAATTCCTGTTTGTCACCAACAATACAAGATCCTTTACTGCATAAATGCAATAAAAACAGCATAAGCATAATTGACTTGCACTGGACACTTGCATGCCTTTTCAGATTTCATATCAACATAAAACAAAATATAAATACGTAACATAAATGGATAACACTTTACTAGAGGCTAAGAGAAACCAAGAGCAAATATAAGTGAATTCAAATGTTTTTAGTTAAGGGAAAGAGGGTATGCATTTGTGTCTATATAATGCATAATTCTGGTTATTCCATGTGCATATTCATTCTAAAACAGGGAATAAAATGCAGAAGAGCCATCTGTACTTTCATTCAATGACATTTCTGGCATATATATATAGTGATATTCAAGAAGCCTTTCTCAAACAAAAGACTATTAGGTTAAGCAGAAAATAATGAGACAGAGCAAATAAAAGAGTACAGATTCATGCAAAAGAATCTGCCGAGCACAAAGTCAAGGGGCAAGTGGTTAACTTACCAGGCCAGGCTAGGGCATATCATGTCCTTCATCAAATCCAAGTATCGAAGAAAGTACAATCCCTTCATTTTTTTCCTCCTTTTTTTCTTTGGGTCGTGGGTCCTGGATGTTTAGAATTTGCGGCCAAGGTGACGGCTGTCATATGCCAATTGACAAATGAAAGAATATGGGACCCATCTTCTCCCTATTTTATATCAGTGTGAGCTGAATTAGTACCAAACTTACTGAAGGAGACAAACCAGAATGTATTCCTTATTCCATTCCTTGCTTCAAACAATCTCCCAAGGCAAAGCATCTTTCCAATTTTCTTTTCTTTTCCTTCTATTTGTGTATCTAATTCCAAAGTTTATATTCCAGATGCTCCAGTCAAAAGAATCTCCTCATACATTCTCCAAATTTAATCATCCTTCCGAGTCTCCATCTCTGCCCTTTAGTACAGATAGCAGTGAACTAAAACTTATTTATAATATCATTACTTCACCATGTATGTGTACATTGACAACTGCAGCAACAACAAAAACAATAATATGGTGAAGAACAAGCGTGTAAGGTTTCTCAGAATTTTCCTTTAAGTTGAGAGCATAAAAGATGAACTTTGAAGGTCTCAAGACATCAAAGATAGTGGATTCCCCTAATCCAACCCAGAAAATTCCCCCCTAAAATTTTTTGGAATAAGGTTCTTGCCTTTTCCAATCGGACATATATATATATATATAAAATATGAGATTAGTGTTTATTAACTAGATGTGCAAAAAAAATTGGGCAGAAAAACGCTCATTTCAATAAAACACTACAAGAAAAAACTAAAACAGTTTCATTCCTACTTAAAAAATTAGGATGTTTTAGTCTTTTTCAATGGAAATTTATTAAAACAACCTAGTGTTAAAGTATTTTTTTGCCTAAGTTTTTGTAGGTACTGATATACATTTTTCTGTATATATATATATATGGTAGATCAATTCCTTGTACCTAATGCAAGGTGTTAGTTATTCGGAAGTTCCAATGGGTTTGTACTGTCTTAGAATGAGAATGGACTTAAAGTAACAGGTCCCATAAGTGACAAGTAGTAGGAAGGACAATATTTTTTTCGGAGTCACTGTGAATATTGGATTGAGTCTCTAGTGTTCCACCGACTTTGTTCAGATTCTATGCCTCTTACTTTCTCCAGCAACCCCATTTTCTTTATAAAACCATGCTCCATGTTGTCTTTGGCTTGTGGAAGTTGGCAGCAGGACAGGAGATAAGTAAGAGCAGTTGTAGAAAGCTTTAGTGTCAGGTTGTGGAATTGTACTGGAGAACATAGGACAATCAAATTCCTGACTTCAGGACACATGCTAGCAGCCTAAGATCAAAGAAACGAGAACGCAAGGTAAAATTACATCCAATCCTAGCAATATAGTATGGTTGTTGGTGCATCAACAACAGGCTAAACTTACAGAGTTTCCCCTTTTGCAGAAAGGAGAAATGTATCAGCACCACCAGCATCAAGGCAAGAACATCCTTCCTTCTTCAAGGATGCCTATCCCTCCGGAAAGGCACTTGTTTCTGCATGGCGGGAATGGCTCTGGAGATTCTGGGCTTGTCCTGTCCACTGATGCAAAGCCACGATTGAAATGGACGTCAGACCTTCACGATCGCTTCATAGAAGCTGTCAATCAGCTAGGAGGGGCAGACAGTGAGTTCAGAAAATATTCTAGCAGTATAGAGTAGATAAATGTGTAAATGCCCTAAGCTGACAAAGTAAGTATGCTATGCTTTTTTTCTGTCACAGAGGCTACTCCAAAAACAATTATGAAACTCATGGGGATTCCAGGACTTACCTTATACCACCTCAAGAGTCACCTTCAGGTAAACTATCAAACACTTGCCCGTCAATCTTCTTAACAAAATGAAATCTAGCAGATTTTCTCACCATAACTTCCCATCAATCTCTCAATTTGTTGCAGAAATACAGGCTCAGCAAGAATCTGCAAGGACAAGTTAATATTGGGGCTAATAAAATGGGTAAGAGAATAATGTCACTATGAATATAAGTAAATTCATTCATTTTCTTTGAAAGCATTATTTAAGGAACAAAATTATCTCAACGGTTATATAGGTACTGCTGGAATGGCAGGAGACAGAACATCTGAAGCAAACGGAACTCATATGAATAATCTAAGCATAGGGCCTCAAACAAACAAGTATGCAGATCAAAGACATCTCTTGTTTTTGACATCTGTTCATCTGCTTAGTTCTTAGTTATACAGTTGTATTGAAATATTGATATTATGGCAATGTGTACTAACAGCAATAATATCCATAAACCCAGAAGCTTGCATATAGGAGAAGCACTGCAGATGCAAATTGAAGTGCAGCGAAAACTACATGAGCAGCTTGAGGTACAATCGATAAGAACCCTAAAAATCAAAATATGTAATGCAAATAAGTTTTAAGGAAAAAAAAAAAAAGTAGTTATCTCACTTTCCTTAGATTGTCTTAGAAAAATTTTAAAACTAGTAGCTCCATTCTGAGAAAATTCTTTTTGAATAACCCCAGGTACAGAGACATTTACAGCTTCGGATCGAGGCACAAGGGAAATACTTACAGGCAGTGCTGGAGAAAGCCCAGGAAACTCTAGGAAAGCAGAACTCAGGATCCGTCGGGCTTGAAGCTGCAAAAGTTCAGCTTTCTGAGTTAGTTTCCAAAGTATCCACCCAATGCCTAAATTCAGCATTTTCAGATCTCAAGGAGCTGCAGGGTTATTGCCCCCAGCAAACACAAACAAACCCACCTGCAGATTGTTCCATGGATAGCTGCCTGACCTCCTGTGAAGGGTCCCAAAAAGACCTAGAAATACACAACAATGGGATGCGTTTGAAGATCACAGAAGACCCATTGTTGCCCCCGACTGAATTAAAATGGTGTGAAGATAGGATGGAGAACAAGATGTTTCTGTCTTCCATTGGCAAGGGTGGGGAAAGAAGCTCTGGTGATTTATCCATGACTGTGGGGTTCCATGGAGAAAAAGGAAATGGAAACAGCAGCAGCTTCTCAGAGGGAAAATATAAAGGAAGGGAAGGAGAGAATGCAAAGCTTTCGCAAGGAAACAGACTGCCTTACTTTTCAACAAAACTTGATCTCAACGTCCGTGGAGAAAATGATGCTGCTTCAAGTTGCAAGCAATTTGACCTGAATGGTCTCAGCTGGAGTTGAGAGGGTTTACTAGGGTCATTCAGAGAATTCAGAAATTGAAAAATGGAATAGTTTCAGGATACGGCCAAACCCAGTTTTGATCAGATTGAAGAAGGTGATACCGTTCTCTCATTCAGGCTGACAAAAACAGCATCAAATCAACCTGAATTCAATAAGCAGCAGAAGTTGCAAGATAGATGAATTTTGCTACTGGTAAGATAGATTCTCCAGTGGAATATATTTTGTTTTTCTATCTGATGTATAACATTAAGAGCCGATGGACATCAAGGAAGATGACTTGATCTGAGTAGGATGAACTTAGATTGAATTTTTTCTTTTTTCTTTGTGCCATAAAAAATGAACTCAGATGCTGAAATCTTATTTGTTGTAATAGGGAAATGACCAAATAAACTTACAGCTTAACCAACTGATTAGTGATACCTCCTATTTTTCTTCTTGATAAGCACAAACAAGACCACTTCATGATCAATGTAGGAGTAATCATGAGTACTGCCTCCATTCTTTTGGTTGTTGAGTGCCCCCACGAACCTCAGGGCACTCAGTACATGAACCAAAGTTTGGATTGGTTCCATGCAAGTTGGTTCTTGTTCTAGAACTAACTTCATATGAAACTCCTTTGGTCTAAAATCAGCCCAAACCTATGGATTTGGACAAACTTTCACCACTAGCGTATTCTTCTTATTTGATAGGGGTATTTTTGCAAGATCATATTTACACATCTCAAATCAAATAATTTATATTCGAATTCCATAAAATTGAATAGAAGTTGGATTAGTTTTAGCCAATTCTATGATTTAGAACTTTAGAATTAAATTCTATACTTTTTAATCATATAACACTTACTGTGTGGATTTGCGCATGAATTCCTCAAAATGTTAAATGGATTTTGAATGCAGTTTCTGAATCCTTAGCTACAAATAGTTGTAAGAAGGGTGACAAAATAAAAGCTATTGATGAAAGGAAAAAGCCTGCTCACAGCTTATGATTCTGTCAAGGTTAATTGCCATGACTCCTTTAAACCTCTAGTTTTGAAAGATGGCACTGGGGTAATCATAAGGGATGCTGCTGGTTGCTTGGTTGGTGATCTGGCTGCTTTTAAATATGCCTGTTCAGCTCTAATGGTGGAGTTATTAATAGGAAAATCTCTAGTTCCATCTTTGAGATTAATTCTAAGAAGCATTTGGACATTCTTCAGGATAATAAAATCTCCCCAATCCCCACGGATGGTTTCTCCCATTATGAATGACATCCAGGCTCAGAAGAATAAACAGTTCTAACTCCTAAGTAGGACTTATAGTGCTCATTAGAGGATTACATATCCAATGCCAACAAAGAGAAAACAGTACCTTCGTGGATCAATTTGAAGGAGTATTCCCAGCTGTTCTTCATGAATTTTGTTTAATACCCCTCTTGCACTTTGTACCCTTACTTGACAGGATAATAAATTTTAAGTATAGTCACAATGGGCAGAAAGAAAAACTGAAGCTTGTTAACAACTATTTCACAGATTTAATTTCAAAAGTATTAGAATTGATGTTTTACTTAAGCTGCTAAAAAAATGTAAGAATCTGCCCATTCTCAGGATGTTTGTTCAGACAAAAGATTCACATATGATATCATACTTCTGTAATTTCATCAAATCGAAAAGCAGAACAATTAAATTCGAGCAAAAGAAACGAACTTGTTGGGATAAGAAGGGGCTCAAGGAGGCAAGTTCCTAGCTTCAACAGGCGGCTCACTGTAGGTTCCCTTTCCATTGCCAGGACATCCAAGGAACACCCCATTGCAAGTTCCTTTCTTTTGGGTCTCCATGCGTGATTTTGTAGCTTTGGATGGATGAAGGAAGGCGCGGTCTCGGCTTCAACCACCGCTGATGAACAAGAGATCAGAGCAGGTGCCGACCCATGTAGGCCTAGAACAATGGAACATTTACCAGAATGGTCCAAGAAAAAATTAGAGGCCCTACTCCACAATAACCTGATATGGTCTGGTACCTCAATGAGTTCAGAAAAGGCCCAATGATTTAAGGTGTCTGGTTATTTCCATGAACTAGAGTCTAGAGGCCATGTCGTCGCTTCGGGCAGCTGAGTTTGTGAATTATAAATTAAGTATGATGATTGCAATTATACTATTTTATGAAAAAATGCAGTGCAGTTCAAATTCTCTTAGTTGTATAATATGAAATAATAATATGATTTACTGTTTAATCTGTTTTTTATTTTTTATTTTTTATTTATAATTATATAATCTAAAATAATTCTCTTTTCTTGTATTTCAAATGTTATAATAATATGGTTTACTATTTGAACTTTTTTTTTAATTAACTTTTCGATAGTTAATAATTACATTAAATCTCGATTAATCTGAAATTAAATTATGTTGGATCCTTAAGGAAAGGTTATCTCAATATTTGTTTTTTCATTCACAAGATTCGAATTTAACATCTTATTTAAAATGAATTGAGTTCCTTTCACTTAAAATAACGTATCGTTATTACTGTTTAAACTGTTTTTGTACAACAATGATCATGCTGCAGGGTTGTGTGGCTTAATTTAAATACTCTATTACCTTATTGTATTTTTTAATTGTGTTTTCAAATAATTAAGAGTATTATCTTATAATTGTATAGAATTATTGTTTTTTTTAATAATTTTAATATTATTTACAGATATATATAAAAAAAAATAAATTCCAAGAGACTCCAATACATCACCCACAAAAATAAAAAACCCTAATGCAAGCTCTAATATCATGGATCGAAACGGTCATTCCGTAAAAAATTATTGTAATAATAAAATTATTGTTAATGTTCATAAATAAATGTCCTTGGGTGAGGTGAGGGGAACGAACAGTATAAGCTAGTACTTCTAGGAGCTAGGAGATATCAGTAGAAGACACATGGAGTAGCTGAGCAATCTAGACCGCAACTGAGCTAGACTGAATCTAATCTGAAGCTAGAGGTAATAGCTAAATAATAGATAGATATAAAATTATTGCTAAAATTTATAAATAATTGCATCCGGCCCTTTCCTTTGGATCAACTGGTCTCTGAGCACCTGATGTATTCTTTTATTTTTAGGCAGGGTTTAACCCGCTCTATGTAATATTGTTTAAAAAAAGTAAATAAATAAATAATTAAAAGTCTATTAAACTTTTAAAAATCCTTAATAATACTCAATGAAGCAATAAGCTTTAAAAAAAATTTAATATATACTTAATGATTTTTAAAAAAATATATGTATTAAAAAATAGTTCAAATCTAACATTTTCGCACTGCATTGACAATGATACTGTTTTCAAGGACTCATGGAATGAGTACATTCCCAGCATGGTAAACGCCTACAATTGGCCAGTAATTCTTTTTTTTTTTTTCTTGAATAGGGTAATTACCCGAGGGAAGGGAATGCGATCACCTCATGTGTTTGAAAAAATATCAATAACTTGTCCGTTTAATGTGAATATTAAAGTAATTGGTAGAATTCAAACTCTTAAATGATTTTGTTCAAATATTAAAATTTGAGAATAAATTATTAAATCTAGAAAGGTGAGTTTAATTGACCAATAATTCAGAACAGACTCAACAGAGTTCCTTTGGGATTTAAATTGTGGAAAGGAGGTATACTAATTTTTTTGGTTAAAATTTTATTTTGGTCCTTGAACTATTATACAAACTTTTGATTCAGTCTCTAAACTTAAAAAATCCCTGATTTGATCTCCATTGTTTATCATTTTAACCTTGATTTGGTTCTTCTGTTAATTTTTCATGTTAATTGATGGCCAAATAAAGAAGAAACATCACGTGTCACACATAAAATTACCAAGTTGGCAAATATAAATGACATGGTCATTCCAACTCATTCTATCAAAAAAAAATTTTTTTTTTCATTCCTCTCTTTCATTTACCCTTTCTTCAACTTCTGCTAACCCTAAGATTTCAACCAATCTATTCATTTCAACCAATTTCTATCCTTATTGGGTTCATCATTATCATCATCATCAAACAATAAAACTCACCAAAAAACAAAATTTTATTTGAAAATTTTTTGCCCATGGATTCTTTTGAACCCAGGCATGCTGGGTTCCAAGGAACCTAGTTGTAGGGTTTGAAGGGGAAAGAAAAGGGGAAAGGGAAAGAGAAGGAAAAAGAAAAAAAAAAGAATTTTTTAAGTTTTATTTAATTTTTTTATCTTATCATTTTTCCATGTCATCACTTTTTGTTGTCATATTATCTTCCACGTGTATTAATATTTGACATGTCATCTTGCTACAGTAAAGTAACAGGCCATGTCATCAGATTTTTAATGGAAGGACCAAATCGGGGTGGAAATGATAAACAGTATGAATCAAATCATAGATTTTTTAAGTTTAGGGATTAAATTGAGGTCTGTACAATAATTTAGGGACCAAAATGAGGTTTTAACCTTTTTTAGATGAATTAGACAAGTGTGGTCTATGTGGTGTTTGTCCTTAGTCTGCTCATCTTTTTATGTATTCCTCTCTGTTACATATAAAATGTGGTTATTCTGCTTCATCTGGTGGGGGATCACCTCGGGTATGGTAATGGAATCTAAGGTAGCCTTTGCAGGACAATATTGTCTGTTTGATAGTCTAATATGGCCACATTTCTTGTGGTGTTTTCTTATTCAAAATTTGTATTGTGTAGTCTCAATAATATAACGGGAAATAAACTGTTAGAATACCCTTAATACTCCTTGATTCGGTAAAAGTATTTTACTGATGAAAAATATTATTTCATCTTTGCAATTTCTCGGCATAAGCATATAAGAAGCTTCATGTAGTACTCGATTACATCATTGTTTTTATTGCTTGTTTACCAAGCATTGTTCGTGTGCATTGAAAATGAAATGATTATTTTCTTCCCTTTCAAACATCAGATGATCATTTTATTAATTATTACATTAAACATCATACCTTCCTTGTACAACCGGCAATTCAACATTATAATGATAAATATATTGAAGAAGTTAAAATAAAATATTAATTTTTTAAAAAATATAGTTTGAAAAGTTTGAAGGTGTTTGAATACATTTTGAGTGTGGGGTTAAGGTTGCCTTGGTTAGAACATCTAGTCTGACTTCTGTTGGTAATTTATATGATTAGTCTAACATGTTCGACTTTGTTCTGGTGTTTTCCTTTAATCAAATCCTATTAATACTTGATTGCATCAGTCCCCATCTAACAACATATTAATATTATCCAACTAATCTGTCAAATTTTAAATTGCAAGAACAATGAACATGAATTTGGACAAACCTCACCCAATAATATTTGTTTGTCCTTCGACATGACTTAACATTAATATATTAATATTAAATCATACAACATGATGTGTCTCTGTTGTTTGAGTTACATAGGGGATGCATGTATTCATATTTATTTTTTTTTATCAACAAATAAAATAAACTTTAGTCCACTCAGAGCAAGTGATAACCCACCCATTATAAACTGCTAGTTCACATTACTTAAATAAATAAATAAAACTCTACCTCTCAATCCTCCTACCAGCAAAGAACGATACAAAGCTGGTACCTCACAAGTACAATTTTATATCCCATTGAGGTCACCTAATTTGTTCTGGGAATTTTTTTTTGTCTATCAATGTTGTGAAGGAATCATTGTCAATTTTTTTTCGTCTACCTTACTTTTTCAAGCTTGAAGTTGCTTACAATGATTAAAAGTTAGAATGGTACAATAAAAGTTGTGGACATTGTCAACAATGTCTTTAATATGTATTAGACGGTGTGGAAACACATCACTTAACCACCATCATCCTAACCAAAGTATCAAATGCACCATTTGATTTTTAGTTAGATCACATCGGTATACCTAACCAAAAGTATATCCTCCAACTTCCTCAAAAAGAAATGAAAGGTAAACTTCTTCTCCTCTTTTTACTTATCTTTATTCACATTTTATAATTTGAATTCAAAATTTTTAAAATTTATAGGGTTAATACATCTGATTACTATATAAACAAGTGATGTATTTCCATTGGGATATCCGGGATTTCAAAGAGCTTGAAATCAATCTGACGTTGGATTCATCAACACCATAAACCAATATAAATAGTGTATTTTGATAGTTTTTAAACTTTTCAAATATAGTACAAATCATACCAATAACAGAACACCCATTCAACCACAATCTCTAAATTTTTAGGATTTTGGTTGTCTTGGACACTTTATTTGTGCACATGACACTTTGGTTATATTTATTTAGACTCTGTTTAATATGGTTATAATTTTTAATTTTTAATTTCAATTTTTATAAATTTTACAACTATTGAAAACTCAATAAAAAAACTAACCATTTATTTAAGACGAGTTTTAATATTGATAACAAAAAATATAAATTTGTTATTAGTATTAAAACTATTTTTATTTTTATTTTTTAATAATTATGATAATATGTTATAAAAATAAAATATAATAAATGAGTTTTTTTATTTATTTAAAATTATAAAATTTAAAAAATAAAGACAAAAAACCACAACCATATACTAAATAAAACCGCAATTTTTTGTCACTTATAAAGTCCCTAAAATAAAAGCAGTGGCAAGGGAAGAAAATTACGTAGTGATTTTGATGATGAGATTCATATGATACGTAAGAAAATTCCACCTCTCTTTTTTTCGGCGTCCCTCTCTCTCTCTCTCTCAATATGTTTGTACTTCCAAATTTTCTCATCTTAGCAGTTCTCTCTAAAACTTCATGAAACTTTCTTTTCCCCGTTTTACAAATGCTCTCTCCCAAGACCACCATTGCCGATGGTGGTAGCAACTAGACATTCCTCATCTCTCCAAGCTCTTATATTCTCTTCCACAAGTAAAAGACCACGGCAGACGAACTCCACTGACCCCAACCTCC